TATCGGATATGGCCTTATTTCCGCTAATAACAGTCAATTAGTTGAATATAAACTTGTCGTTGCATGAAAGGTACTACCAACATATCGTATAGATATTTAAAAAAAAATAACTACAATTTTAGCTTCTACACATTTTTGTCACCTTTTGCAATATAAGCACGTTTTCATCGTGATCACGTAGTGTTCTTCTCGTTTCGTGCTTTCTGTGACTCGTTTTATGAATTCCTTTTATCTCTCTAAGAAGTCAGGGATCTTTGAAGTTACTTATTCTTCTGTTTTTTTTTCTTTTACTTATCTATATAAGCCACTGAAATAATTTTAATGAAATTAATACAATATATGTTGTATTCTGGACACAAAGTAATATTCTTTTAAACATATTAGTTTGTGTAAGAGGAGTGACAAAGGTGTACAGTACAACGGCATTGATAATTGTGTAAATAGTTTTCTTTTTGCGGATATTGTCTATATAAATCATTATCATTTCAGCGTCAGTCTCCTTTCAGTCTAATATTGGACATAGGACTCGACCAAAATATTATACTACTGAGATCGATCTTCGACTCTAATAAAGGAGGACGATGCCATCAAGGACTCTTTTTAAATTTGCCAATTAAGTCATAATGATACTTTAATATTTGAGACTTACCATACATCTTAAATTCCGGAATAGCAAATTTTCATGGGATGAAGAAAAAAGTTTGTTTAAAACAGCCATAGTAAGCATAATCCTCTAGTAACCCCACCAAATGAGGTCGATGGTGTATACAATAGATTTAGTAAAACCTTAACTTCCGCTTCTATCTTGCTTCGTAATCGCTGTGTCCTTAACCCATATAGGATAACATTTAAGCGTAGGGCTGAGGGAAACATTGCGGCTAATTTATTGCCTATTTACATTATTGTGACCGTTCTAGTTTGCACTTTTATACGAAGTCATTCAGCTTTTATTTCTGTCCTCATAAAAACACGCGGTATCGTATACCTTCGACTTGGTAAATGTATAAACGTATTCTGAACACTGAATCGTCATAGTTACTTGTTTTTCTGTATAGGACTTGCTCTTCTTATCTATACTAATATTATAAAGAGGTAAAGTTTGTGATCTTGTGAGTTTGTGAGTTTGTGGGTTTGTGAGTTTGTGAGTTTGTGAGTTTGTGACGTTGTAGGGGGTAATCTCTGGATCTACTGAACCGATTTACAAAATTCTTTTACCAATAGAAAGCCACGTTCTTTCTGAGTGTCATAGGCTATATATTAACCCGAAAAATGAAAAGGCTTTTTCGTGGTAGTCGGATTTGCAAAGTAAGTCGGAGAAAAAACGGTCGAACGAAAACGTTTCTTACGAACGCTGCCTTAACGATGAGAGATATATGATTATGTTCTAGAGAAAAGTTGTAGAACTTAATAATGCCTACAAAAAAGTCCGCGACAGCATATGTCTAACTTTTATATTTAAGTCACAAAAAGTCGTTTTTTATATTACAAAAATAAATTAAATCGGTAGGTCATGTTTATTGGTCATATTATCAACAATTATGAATTCTTATCAAAATAAGTAAATTTATCATCTAAAATATTTAAAACAAAAGACTTTTCCCTTTTACTGCATATAATTTGGACAAATGGTTAAAGAGATAATACAACATATTCGTATGTATGGACGAACCCGAGCCAGCTGTTTGTCTGTTTTTCTGTTTGTACGGGCTAATCTCCGATTCTATTGGACCGATTTAAATGAAATTTTGCATGGTGGTACCTTATATCCCCGTGCAACATCTTAGATACTTTTCATCCCGGAAAATTAAAGAGTTCCCGTGGGATAGTTAAAAAACTATAACAATTTATACAGCTTAGTACACAAAAACTACTGATTGGATTTTAATGAAACTTTACAATAATATAGTTCATACATGACAAAAACAAATCAGCTACTTTTCATCCCGAAAAATTAAAGAGTTTTCGTGGGATAGTAAAAAACTATAGTAACTTATACAGCTTAGTACACAACAACTTATTCACCTAATTTAGTGAAATTTGGCATGCTGATACCTTATATTGCCGGTCAAAAAACAGGTTACTTTTCATCCCGGAAAAATGAACGGTTCCCGTGGGATAGATCTGTTTGTGCTTTTCTAGAGGTGAACCCGAGCGAAGCGAGGGTGAGCCGCTAGTCTACCTATATATATAAGAAGAACTTCTTGAAAACTTCTCTTTAAAGTTCTTCAAATGGAAGAACTTTGAAGAGCAGCCCTTTTATCCCCTTTTTTGGGATATTGCGCGTACAGAGTTTTAGCATAGTTAAAACTAGCCATTTACTCTCGCTTCGATCGGGTGTGTTCTAGGTACGTTTTCATTTTTTTGAGTGGAACCCTAATTATTTAAAAATAAAATAAAAGTACCTTAGTTACTCCTTATAATATCAGCTATCTGCCAGTGAAAGTCCCGTCAAAATCAGTCCAGCCTTAAAAAAGTACCGCATATAATTTCATATGCATTTAGTAAGAAGCTGTTATTTTGACATTACAAACAGACAGTTCAATTTTATTTATCTGTATATATAGATTTAAATGGAGAAGGACTGCTGAGAGTTAAAACCCAAAAAAACATTTTACAATTTATCATTGTACTAATGATGTCTTAATAAAGCTTGACCATACATATATTATTATAAATAAGCAATGTCAATCTCCAGCTCTTTAACTATCCATATGAACAAAATACATAGTTACTGCGTTAAAGCAGGACAACCAAACAAATTTAGCTGTAGCATTAAGAATATTCTCCCACATCAGGCTGTCAATATATAAGTTCCGGGTAACCAGGTCATGCCTTTTACTGCTTATTGTATTTACTCAAGTAGTTCGATTTTGCAGTATTATAGCGACCATTATGAGATTATTAGGTTTGGACGACCCAATTTGGCTTGCCCTTTGTTTAGGCCCCTTCAAAGGACGTAGCATTATTTAAGCTTCTATTGTAGGGCTTGTACGTGTCAACGTTAACCATGCTCTATATTTACAAGTATACATATACGTCTTATATACATATACTAGCATTGCCCGCGGCTCCGCCCGCGTTCTGATGACCAAAAACCAAATTCTTAGGTTTTACATATTAGTATAGTCTTACATTGCTGTTTTTGTATTTTTTTTGACCCGGATAACCAGCTATCACCATACCAAATTTCATCAAATTCCCTTCTGTGGTTTTTCCGTGATGGGGTAACAGACAGACAAAAATTCTAAAAACTATAGATTCGGAATCTGTATCGATAATAATGTCTATTTCAATTAGATTTTCCAAAAAATATTTAATGTACAGATTCGGCTTGGTTACAGTTTTATTATATGTATAGATGTATACATATAATAAAATTATAACTGAGTCGAAGTTGTATATTAAATATTTTTTGGGAAATCTTATTGAAATAGTCATCGTTATCGATACAGAGGCCGAAATTAGTTTTTTTAATTTTTGTCTGCCCATCTGCCTGGGAACACATCACGAGAATACTACTGGATAGATTTTGATGAAATTTGGCATGATGATAGCTGGGTATCCGGGTCAACATATAAGATATTTTTTACTGCGGGAAAAAATCTCATCTATGAGAAATGTATACTAAACGTTAAAACATTAATAGGGATGAACCCGAGCGGAGCGAGGGTGAGTCGCTAGTGTATTTATATAATGATAATGACATTATTCATTAAATATTTTTTAGTCGACTAAAAAAGAATAACGTACAGATGCGGTTTTTTGGGTGTGATACGTGATATCTTTACTAAATGCGAACCGATTTTCATGATTATTTTTTAATAATATTCCATATAAATTTCAAAAGAAAATTATACTCCTTAGTGAGAAATAATTACTTTGAAAGTGCTTTTAAAAACCCATGTATATTTTTAGTTCAAACTTACTCTATAGCTTCTATAGCTATCAAAAAACAACAAAACGCACACGTTTGCAAATTCGTGCAGACATATTTCGAGAACTACCTAGTTAAAATTTCTGTATGGTATGCAGAGGGTAGCGGGTTCGCGTTCGAGCTAGGATCAAAACATTTATATAAGTCGTTTGAGTATTTGTTTGTATCAGCCTGGTTTAACTTCCCTGTCATATTTGCACGCTGGTCTAAGTGAAATTGGATGCCTTGATCAAAAATTTGTCCAGGGACGGAAATCTCATGAAGCCTTTAAGTACTAGGAGCTATTTAATATAAAAGTGAATATGTGGTTAGTAAGAAAAAAAGAACGTCCAGAACTAACATAAAAAAATCGAGTTATTTAGCTAATAAATTCTCAAGTACATGGAAACTTAAAACAATTTAACAAAACACGTATATTAGGCTACTGAGCTATTTAGGCCAGGGGTGATTTGTGGGCTTCGCGCAAACAAAACAACTGTTAGTGTAGAACATTAACAACGGAAATGTAATTAAAGTTTACTTTTTAAACGATATTTAGAACTATTTTATAGTAGTGATCCGCCCCGGCTTCACCCAAGTGCTTATTATTTATACATAGAAATCCCCAAGTTCAAGTTTAGCTTAAGCAAAATTTTCTCTATTAGTTATTGCCCACTAGTAAAGGATATAGCTAATGGTAGCCCAGTGGTAACGGGCTGCTTGGGAAATCAAGTGACGCGGGTTCCAATTCCGGATCTAGCATCTCTGATATTTTCATGTGCGAATCATTTTCAACATGATTCCCATTTGTCTTACGGTGAAGAAAAACATCGTGAGGAAACCTGCATGTCTGAGAAAATCTAGCAAGTTTTCGAAAGACATATGAAGGCCGCCAACCCTCACTTAGACAGTACGATCGACTACGGCCTGATACCCTTCAAATTGAAGGCCAATATTATGACTGTTTAATACAGATGAGAATTGAGGATGATATTTAGGGGTGAATAAGACAAGTTGTGGCATAAATAGAAATACAAAAGTGTTGTAATTAGTTGATAGTAGTTAATATATACTCTCATTGTTCCAGTCGGATGGGCGTAACCAGGCTCCCAAGATCCACTCATCTCGTCCCTCCCCTGAACACGCGCCAGGTATGTACTCACATATCAATATTTGCTTAACATGTAGTTAAAGAAAACAAAGACAAATCTGTTCAGTACCTTTTTCTTTTTCCTGTTTATCAACAGTTTTTTTTATTTAGTAGCTATTATTAACAAGCTTTAGTGTTTCCAATAATAAAATGATTACTATTAGTCCCGGATCGGACCGAGTTTAGTTATTGAGTCTTTCTGTTAAGATAGTCTCAGTAATAGCCCGGAGTTGAGAAATGGCGCTGTTTCACCTTCTTTCCTCGAAGAGCATGTAAAGCCGTCAGTCCTACGCCTGATCTCTCACCGGTTGTGTTGATTTGTCGTCACACCAGAATATGAGAGTGAATGGAATAGAGAGTGCACTTATGTTAGTGTGTACACTAGCACTTTATAATAAATCTAGAGCAGTTAGCTAATCCCAGAGAGATTAACCGGCGTGGCCAAGATCAGTTAGGAGGACATCAACATCTTCATCATATTTAGATAAAAACTTAAAAAAAACCGACTTCCAGGCGCTATAAAAACTTTTTAACAAAAAAATAAAAACCGACTTCAAACAAAAGCACTAAAAAGTAAAAAATAACTGATTGGTAGTTTTCATTTACTATACATACCTAATCAAATATATTCGAAGTCGGTGTGCTTTACTTTATATGGGCTGGCACCGATTTCGAAAATATTTGATTAGGTATGTATTTAATAGGTAGGCTTTAATTACTTAGCCAAAGCACACCGACTTCGAATATATTTGATTAGGTATGTATAGTAAATGAAAACTACCAATCAGTTATTTTTTACTTTTTAGTGCTTTTGTTTGAAGTCGGTTTTTATTTTTTTGTTAAAAAGTTTTTATTTTTCCCTGTTTAGTGTAGACAGTAGTAGCAAAGTAAGGATTCTAACGTGTTAGGCTTGTCAAATCAAACAAAATAAGCCCAAACTCAAAGTATCTACTATTAGCCGTTGAAGAATTCCACCTATCCACCTTCTGGCCTTGCCATCAGATCAGGTCAACAACACCGAATCACTGTACTATCAACGGAAATAGAAATACTTGCAAAGTTTCAAGTCAATATGACAATTAGAAGTAGGTTAAATTCATCATTAGTTGTTTTTCCACCCTTAGGGGTGGTATTTTTTTTTGAAATTTAAATGGGACCAATCTGGAAGTATACCCTTTCAAACAAAACAAAAATTGTCCAAATCGGTTAATAAATGACGGAGTTCTGAGGTAACAAACATAAAAAAAAAAAAAAAAAAAACATACAGTCGAATTGAGAACCTCCTCCTTTTTGAAGTCGGTTGAAAATGTAAAATAATACTAAACGGAGGTTTTCACTTAGAATAGATACCTAATCATATATTTTAGAATCCGGTGCCAGGTCGGTGGGGGATTCCTTTGTGTGACGAGCACGAATGTTTTTATTCCAGTCATGGGTGTTTATATTTATAATATGTATGTATTTAAAGTAATATATGTGTAGTGTATCACATAACACAAGCCTCGTAGCTTATCATGGAACTAGATGGTGCTGCGTGTTAATATCCCAACATATTTATTTATTTATATTAATATGTTGTTTGTTAGAGTTTTCGTTCACTTATTCAGGCGTGGAGAGCAGCATGACGGTAGCGCACGGGGACGGCTCCCCAGAACGCCTGGGCGGCGCTCTTCGGCGTCTTCACTACCGTGCCACTCGCCGCGCCCACTCCGCCGCCGCCAGACACCACTCCACTACCCCTAAGGTATTATTTAACCATAATTTCTGCACTCTTACTGATTGACTTCAAAAAGAAGCATAAAGTATCTCATATACTGTACTAACTTAAAGTGTCTGATATGCTATACTAATACCTATAGCAAATAAAAACTGCGAACTTAGGATAAATTAGTATTTAGTTTAGAGGAAATTCTGACTGTCATGATTTATAAATTTAATAAATAAAAAAATTAATAATAAAAAACTGTGATTTTGTTCGTTGCAGGCTTCCGGTAAAAATGAAAATAGGGAAAACATATCTAACGTTGGAAAAACTAAAATTTGAAAATATTAATAACTTTCAGATTTTGATGACTTTTTTGATTCCCGTAGTAAAAATTTTTAGTTTATACTTTCGTTTTTGTCCCTTTTTTACCGAAGCTTCGTGTACACAGTTTTCAAAAGCAATTAACTCTGTCATAACACGGTTTTCTAGTAGTTTACGGTACGTACATATAGACATCCAAATGTACAATTTACATGAATGTGTATATTAATGGACTCACCAGCTAAAAAAGATAATTTTACCACAATGCCATGAAACATTGGATATACACTCTATATCCTTAAAATGTAGAAATAATATATATTATATTATGAGAAAATACATTAATTATTTACAAATAAATAAAAAATACTCAAAATCAAATATACATTACAAAAATAATTATTACTGTACAAGTCATGTTCGCGTGGAGTTGTGGCAAGAATGCTAGCCGCGTTTCTCCGCTGAATGGCAATGCCCATTCTTTGGGCGAAAAACGAGACAACTCTCCTTTTACCAGTAGAGACAATGAGATGAGACGTATTATCTTTTCAGAAGTGTTTAGCGCGTTGACTCTATGGGCCAAAGATTTCTACAGAAATGGTATAAACGTATATTTTTGATTCAGGAAGACGTTTTATGTAAAACTAATTTTTCGGATTTTTTCGCGGATTTATTTTGATTTTTGATTCCCGAAGTTTCGAATGCTTTACAGTCAGGTCACAGGAGAGACTAAGGCTCTAGACGTCTCAAATGTCATTGTATAGTTTTTAAATTAATTAAGAGATCGTATTTACGCAACTTGAGTACTCGTAAAATATATAAACATAATATCAAAATATTGCTCGAATCTACACATGATAGTGTTCCATCGCCAACGGACAGTCAGGAATATTCGCCTATTATTCAAATTTGTTTGAAAACTGTTACGATAAGACGTATTTTATTGTGGCTGTTTACGAGTGAAGGCTTTTCGGAATCTCTTTGTATTTATTTTTTAGGTTGAATGGGTAATGTTAGGGAATATGATATGACGAACTTTTATTAGAGGACGAATTTTTATTAGAGATTCATTTTTGCTTTATCCAGATATAAAAGGTGTATTGGTATTTGAATATAATATTTTCTTTGATTTACGCGAGATTTTCACACACAAATCTATACTAATATTATAAAGAGGCAGAGTTTGTCTATTTGGTTGAACGCACTAATCTCAGGAACTACTTAGCCGATTTGAAAAATTCTTTTTGCATTAGATAACCCATTTATTGAGCAAGGCTATATATTATTATGCTAGTACCCAAAGGAGCGGAGCAGTAATCATAAATGTCAACATATCGGGCAGAGGTACACTATTGTAAAACTATATATACATGGGGACGAACCCAAGCAAAGCGAGGGTGGTTTTCGCAGATTTTACCTTAAGCATAAAAAGAATTGGCTATAAAATTCACGTGTACTTTTAAACTAGTAGGTTTTATATCTAGATTCTAGGTTCTTGAAGAGTCTTTGTCAAATAAATAAATAAGGTAATTATGACTAAAAAGAAGGCACTGCTGGTAAATAAATCGAGGACTATAGTTGTCTTTCAGAGCTTCAAATCAAATATTAATCGGTTTTAATTATAATCGTGTAAGAATCGTTGAAAAGCAATTAATTACCTCTAAGCCAGCTTTACTTGAGATCTGCAATCGATATGGCTATTAAAAACAATACAATCGGACACCCTCGCCCACGGAGGGTTCCGTAGCATGAGACATTATGCTTTGTTTTAACATACTAATTTGTTACATTAAATAATAAATCCATACTAATGATATAAATGTGAAAGTGTATTTGTTTGTCCTTCTTTCACGTCAAAACGGCTTGGCAGATTGGCGTGATTTTTTGTGTGGAGATAGTTGGAGGGCTGGAGAGTGACATAGGCTACTTTTTACCGCGGGACATTATCTAATTCCCACGGGAAAACACGTTATAATACAATTCAATAAAATATTTATAAACAGAATTACTTGAAACTTGGTATTAATGCTCTTAATTAATTAATGCTCTTAATACTTGTTTTAACATTTTTCTAAATTCATGCTATAAGGGGGTAAAATAGGGGATGAAAGTTTGTATGAAACTACCTTTTTAGAGATTTTTTTGTACTTTTAGCGCGAGCGAAGCCGCGGGTTCCGCTAGTATATAACAAAGTAAAATAAAATATTTATCCATCTACATAGTACATACGATTTTTATTTTATTAACTGCATTTTGTATTTCATATGATCACTATGTGAGACAAAGTTAATTTTGGACGGACGGACAGATGGACGTTCCAAAATTATATGTTATAACCTTTTGGCTTCACCTTGACCTTAAGTACCATAGGCCACTATTTGACGAGAATAATATATCTAGCTCGGAATATAGTGAGGTCCGAGCAAAGCAAGGTCATGTCGTTAGTTTTCTAATATTTTATGTTTCAATCAAACTGTCCTCTAAGAAAAAAGTGACCTTAAACTTTTAATGAATTCTAAACAATGTTGCAGGTGTTTTATTTATATTTAATATTGAATCATAATTTCGTCATTCCCAAAGACGGGTGTATTGAAGGCGGCGTAATTGCTTTCCGTTTTCACAGCGTTACAAATTAAACAACTTCATGTTTCGCATTAATAACAAACACGGTAACACATTTTTCGTTTCTTTAATGATGACGACACGTTTGGCTCAGTTTGTAGTGCTGCTTGTTGTGCTAGAGGTCGCGGGTTCGAGTCCCGCTGGGGGTAATCATTTGTGTGATAAGCACAAGTGTTTGAACTCCAATCATGGGTGTTTATATTTATAATATGTATGTATTTTAAAGTTATATATGTGTTGTGTATCAACTATCTATCTGGTATCCATAACACAAGCCTCGTAGCTTACCCTGGAACTAGGTGGTGCTATGTGTTAATTTCCCATCATATTTATTATTATTTAATAATAATAACCCTATTTTCATTTCTTCGTACACAAAATTGGTAGAAATATATCCTATAGCTAAAAAGATTAATACAATATTTCTACAAATAGTCTTACAAGTTCGGCAAACTTTAGCGGATTGATATCTTGATGGATGATCGGCTCCGAATAAATAGCTCCTTTTCCTCACTCATCGTTATATTTATATATTTATATAAATAATACTAATAGGTACCGTTTGTGGTCGATTGTCGTGAAATAATTACAAAACTCTTCAGCAAAATCGATTGACAATATCAATTAATTTTCTATTAATGTACGTATTACTATATTTCGGAGCTCCATCAAATAAAAGATTTATTGGGAAACTAGCGGTTCACCCTCGCTTCGTTCGGGTTCGCCTCTAGGAAAACAAAAACAAATCTATCCCACGGGAACTGCACATTTCCCCGGGGTAATAAGTAGCCTGTTTGTTATTCAAGTCTATAATCTATCTGTGTGCCAAATTTAATCTAGATCTGTTCGGCCGTTCTGGCGTGAGAGAGTAACAAACATCCATACTCACAAACTTTTACATTTATAGTTTATAACATATTAGTATTAGTATAGATTTCTTAGAGCTTAATGAGGATGAAATACACTTCAAGTACTTCAAGCATTAATTATTTTTAGTCTTGTGTAAATCTATGAAAGTTTACGTCACCAATTTTTTGTATGACTGCTCATTTAAAAAAATGGTGAAATAACTTTATTGAGGTTACACTTCTTTTAGCACGTTTAGAAGAAATTATAAGAGTAAAATTTTTACGATGCGCGCGCACACTGACAGCCAAAAAGTGACATGATGAAGTTAGCAGAAAGCGACATGATGAAGTTAGCTGAAAGCGACATGATGAAGTTAGCTGCATTCCTTTCACACACTGAGAGTTGTGGCATATGGGATGAAATTTTTAGCTATTTTTGTTCTGGTACCTACGCAAAAGAACTATAACTTTTTACGTGAGTACGTACATACGCACCCACATAAGTATTTTTTTATATAAGACGAGTAGAAAATAAAATGTCTTAATGTGTCTTAAGCTAATATCGCCACCGGATATGGCGTTGTCGATTCCTGTCATTAGTGACGTCACCGGAAACGAGCCGTTAAGGAACCGGGAATTAGATTGAGTAATGAGAATATTTTGGTATTTTATATTATAAATATTATATTTCATATCACTAGACATATTTTTGATACCAGCCTATTTTGATACTAAAACATTCTAATAAAATATAAAACCTCTACCGCTCCTTATAAACTGCTAGAGCAAAACTCATGAAACATTAATATGTATGCAAAATTTCAGCTTAATCGGTTAAAGATAACTGCTTTTTACATGAATGTTTAAAACCATAATTATTATTTAAAAAGAAATAAAAAGAAAAAATGCTACATCTAATAGAATCAACGATGAATCCCAATTTTTACATTACGCTGAGTTGCCCAAGTATCGAGATAGCGGTAAATCTTAATATTTGCAAGCGCCGCCTTACTGTAACAATAACCAGTGGTAAGACTCAATTTGTATAATATAACGAGCTGCTGCTCGCGATTTTGCAACCAGGAGGTGGACAGTGAAATACATTAAAGGCTATTAGTAAAAATCGATGTTTGGGCTTATTTTATTGATTTTGACTAATCCCATTTTGTTAATTGTTAGCAGTTGTTGGCCTAATCAGTTTCTTTTCTGTTTTACTGTAATTATCGCATAATTTACTTTTATAAGTGATAAAATTTACCCTTAAGTTTATTTAAAATAATAATCTACATGTAGATTAAAAGAATAAAGCCAAAATAAATATTCTCCTTTCACTTTAAATAAGCAAATATTTTAAAAGATGATTGAATTTATTGCTACATAAAAGTCTCAGGCGCTTTATAACAAAATTATTCTCTTCGATTGCTCTTTTTACTCATAAGCGTGTCTTCATATATCTCATTTGAATATGTAAAATTGATTGAGATTTCTTTTATCTGCAGACTGAATAGAATATTATTATAAATTAGTATTTGATCGTAATTATAGAGGATAGATGCATTAAACTTACTAAATCATTTCTACGGGCTTGTAGTATGTAGGGCTTATTTCCCTCAGGTACTACCGTACATGTAGAGAATGGAGTGAGCAAAACTGTCCTGAAATTGATAAAGAGAGAAAGCGAACGTGTGGCCTATACCCTTCTTTTATTAATGGATTGTAAAAAAAATATTATTAAAAATTATAAAATGATGACTTTATAATTTTTTTTAATGTAAAATGGTTATAAATATCTATCTCCATTAATTGTATTTTAATTAATACAGAAGACTTCTGGCAGCACATTCGTTTTGTTTCTGTCGCGTCTAACCGCCATTTTTAGCTGACGGCTGGCAAGGAAACACTCAATTCATTGTCTATGTCTATGGGTGCTACTCTAACTTTTCTCTAGATATCTATTTTATTTTGCACTCCACGTATACAAGTATTTTATTGTTAAGTAACTAGTATCCACTAACTCCTAGTAACACTTAATTAAACAAACTGCCTAGGTGGTGTTGAGGCTAACGTGTACGCCGACAAATCTGAAGGTTCTCCTGGGTTCGATTCCCGACCAAGTTTATTTATTGAATTGTGTTAGTTCTGTTAAGAAAGTTTCGATAACAGTTGATAAAAAGAGTTGGCGGTGTTTCACGCCCGAGCCTCGGATAGTAAAGCCGTCCTGTGCCTGAACTCTCACCGGCCATGTTGAATTATCGTCCCATCAGAAGTTTAGAGTGAAAGCAATAGAGATAACTAAAATAAATAAAAAATTAAAAGAAAAACCACATGTAATTCATCATTTTGTGGCGGCCATCTTGGATTTGAAATTTATCATAGTATATAGTATTTCACTAGTCAAGCCCTCTCATTTGATACCCGTATTAAGGAAGTTATGAAAAAATAATAATGTAACCCGCCATTTTGTGGCGGCGGCCATCTTGAATTGATTTACATAAAACATAGGACATTCTCCCGACTAATTCATCTTTCAAAAAAAAAAAAACAAAATCAAAATCGATTCATCCGTTCGGGTGCTACGATGCTACACACAGACACACACACACAGACACGTCAAACTTAGATACTTAGATTTACGCGAGGCTCAAAGTAGAAAGACCTGCGTTATTCCTGAAGCTATCGATCTTTCAAATAACCATACATTAACCAGATCAGGACATACATTTATATGGCAACTAGCAACTCACCTTCGCTCCGCTTGGGTTCGTTCCCAGTTACGTTTTAACGTTTAGTATAAATTTCTCAGAGATTTTCCCGCAGTAAAAAGTATCTTATATGTTGACTCGGATAACCAGCTACCATCATACCAAATTTCATTAAAATCCCTCCAGTGGTGTTTCCGTGATGCGGTAACAGACAGACGGACAGACAAAAATTCTAAAAACTATAGATTCGGCCTCCGTATCGATAATAATGTCTATTTCAATAAGATTTTCCAAAAAATATTTAATGTGCAGATTCGGCTTAGTTATAATTTTATTATTTGTGGCAATAAATTAATCGTATGCAATAAATAATATTATGCAGGATTGTGCCACTACATGAGGAATAATCTAACTATAAGACTAAATAATTATAATTATAATTCTGTTCATATTATATCTTTCTTTTATCATAGCAGCAAAATCCAAAAGCTCTGACACAGGATACAGTTGAATAACTTTAGTGTAAATAAAATGTAGTGTAATTTAAAAAAATAGGTTGTTTTGTGGTGTACCGACCGATGCCAGTCGATCAAACGCAGTTGCGCATTGCAGGAAGCTGTACAAACAAACTAGTGGATGCAACGTTATTTGCAAAAATAATAAAACAAATTACGATAATACGTACCTACTGATATTGAAACTGTGAGGTACTTGACAATTTTCGATGAATGAAATGGCTTATTTACTTATTATGAGTAAATAGATTAAATATGTATGTAGTTAAATAGAATGTTTAAAAAAATGCTCGGTTTTTAGCATTTTTTCTGTGTACAGACATTCGACCGCTACAGTTTTATTATATGTTGTTTTTTTTAAATGTATGAAATTACGTTTCTTTTGAACTTACATATATTCTGGTATAAATTTTACTTAATAATATTAATGTTGTAAGGATAATATATTTACTGCTAATTCTGAACGTCCTTTGTAGTTTTTAAGATTTTGAAAAGGATTTTTTTTTTGTTGAAATCTAATATATTATATTTTTTAAATTCCTAGGCCGCTATAAGCTCAGCCATTATATACGAGATATTATTATATATTTTTCCTTTTGTTTGCTTAGTATAGTATTTAATATAGTATTTAAATCCATGACCTTTAATTCAATTAAAAATGAAAGTTTGCAAAAAGCAAGGCCGCTATAATCTACATTCTATATTAATAACTGTTCTCCAATATACAATAAATCAAAGTTGTTAAAGAGTTTTAGTTTCTCTGAATAAGACTGCCAAAGATTGGGTATTTAATTGCTGCAAATAGGGTCACTACAGACTGAGCCAAACGTGTCGTCAAATATTTCTCAATATTCTAGTATATTTTCAGTGAATTATATGCTCACTTTTAGTTCCTTATATGTTGCAATGGAATTTCATTTTGATACATCTCCTTAACAATGAGCTTTAAAAATAAGCATCCTTTAAACATATATTTATTTAATTTATTAAATCCATACTAATATTATAAATGTGAAAGTGTGTTTGTTTGTCCTTCTTTTTAGTCGAAACGGAGTGACGGATTGACGTGATATTTTGTGTGGAGATAGTTGGAGAGATGAAGAGTGATATAGGCTTTTTATCGCGGGAAATTATGTAATTCCTACAGAAAAACACGTTATAATACAATCAAAAAATAAAAATTATGATCAGAATTACCTGAAACTTGGTATAATAAAATTAAATAAATAAAATTAAATAAATACGTGTTTTAGCATTTCTCGAAATTGGTCTTTAAGGGGGTAAAATAGGGGATAAAAGATTGTACGAAACAACTTTTTTAGAAATTTTTTACAGTTTTAGCGCGAGGAAAACCGCGGGTTCTGCTAGTATTATATAATTTAAACATAAAAATATATGCACATTATTTTTAATATCACCTTTAAAATCTTACGATTATAAACACAAAACATTTTGAGGAATTATTGTGTTCAAAATGCGTTCACAAACAAAAAAATCGAGTTCAATATTCATAGCTCATCAGAAACACGTAATTAAGTTTTTAACTACTCTACTATATTTTAATAAATATTCATTAATTTTAGGAAGCAACAGTTCCCTGTTATATTGGCTGTAGGCGTAGTCGAAGTGGTTCCATAAGGAATTCGACACTTCTTTCGCCTCTAACACGTTTGGCACTCTTTTTATCAACCAGTAAATGTCTTTAGTGTCCACTAAATGGTCATTTTTACCATACAACACCATTAATGGTACTGTCACTGCACTAAGATTATAACTTGGTGGCTGTTCACTGCCATATAACTCTAAATTTTTTAACTTTCCATAATCAAACTTCTGAAAACGCGGCGTCCTCGTGCTTTGACCATATCTAGCCATGTTATGAATTGACGTCCCAGCAGGAAAATGTCCGAACATTGTACGCAAGGTTTTATTTGTTATGGATCCAGGATGAAATGAATCAAACAGAGCTTCACCCGTTCCACAAATGGTTTCTGATATAGAAGTAAATTGACAAAAGAATTCCAGAAACTCCTGACTTAAGGAACCCTTTGCTAAAAATTCATGAAAACCGGTATCATAAAATACACGTTCCATTTGCATTATGTATTGTACTACAAGTCTATATGGTACGGACCGAGTATGCGTTTGCCTTGCAGCTGGAGCTAGACCTATTAAAATGTTTGCTTTATCACAATATCCAGGTCTTTCAGAACACATTATTAGAAATGTTTTAGCACCTTGAGAATATCCAATATAGTTCAGCTTCGTTTCTTTTGTATATTTCAGGACATAGTCTATTAAAGCTGGTATATCGTATGAACCAATTTCATCAACGGAGAATTGCCAAAAGTCTGGGTCTTTATCAGGATTTAAACTAATATGTCGTCTACCATAATAATTTCCCCGTTCATTACCGACCCATACATCATAACAGGAATCCGACAGCAGAAATCCTAATCCAGCATCAGGTCCAGCATCCAAAAACGCTTCAGAACTTTGGAGAAGTCCATGCATCAAAATGACCGGTGGTTTTTTCATTTTACCTAAACACTTTTTTGAATTAATTCTAAAAATTGTCAAAAAATAACCGTCATCAGTCAACACTGTATGCTCTTCCGACATATATCCATAATGTTCACTGAGTTCCGTAAAATTTAGTAAAGACTCCTTAGTGTACCCGAGATACTTTTTCTGCTCATTATTTAGCGGAATCCCTCGCAATCGTACAATATTTCCGAGTATAATCGCGACGGAGATAAGTAGAATGTTAAATGTGACGTTAACTTTTGAAGCCATGATATCAACTGACGGTAAACTTGCTTTGTGTAGGTTAAAAATGGATTCAATTATATTAAACCAGTATTATTAAAGCGCTTATGTAGATGAAGTCAGGTCAAGGTGAGTTTCTTTCTAGATAGATTTTCTTCAAATAATGAATTACCTAAATGACAAAAAACTTAATTATTTTTAAATTATGTGATAACATAATACTTTCTTAGATTTACGCAAATATTTGTCATTTTAAATAAAACCATATTTTCGGATTATTTTGATTTTTGGTTCTCGACGTTTCGAATGCTTTCCAGCAATCACGGGAGAGACTAAGGTTATAGACGTCTCAAGCACATAGTTGTTACAGACAGTGCCTACCCACTATTTTACAAAAATGATTTCAAAAGTTGATGTTGTTGTTTTTGTACAATACTTGTATCAATAAAGAGATGACATGAAAAAAAAAATGCGATGTGATCTAAAAATATATATAAACATGTGTCACCTACATGTGACACTGGAAGTTGAAGGGAATAAAAGCTTGTAAAATCAGATGAGTTTTGATTTTAAAGGAAAACTTTTTGTATTTAAGTTACTCAGAATGTAAATAAGCTGTTTTTCATCTTTTTTATCGAAATTTTCGAATTTCGAAAAAATCGAATTTATCGAAAATTGTGAACCACCTCATCTAGTTTGTTTTTACAGCTTCTTGCAATGCCCAACTGCGTTTGATCGACTGATATTGGTCGGCACACCACAAAACGATCTCAATTTTTTAAATTACACTACCCATTATTTACATTAAAGTTATTTAACTCTATACTGTATCGGAGCTTTTTTGAGGATGTTTTGCTGCCATAATAAAAAAGGAAAAGCTAGTAATATAAATATCTACGAGTGTGATCATTGTAGCGTAGAGGAAGAGTTTGACAGGTACTCGTATATTCTACCCTATGTAATAGCTCAATCTTGCACGGTTACGATTTATTTTAGCCATATTAGTTTAGTCAATTAGTGCTTTTTTGGTCACCCTTTTTAAGCAGTCTCGGAAAAATATAAACGAGGTGTCATTTGATTCGGAATGGCATTTACCTAGATAATTTTCGAAAAAAAGTAAGTTCCGCTTACAAAAAATATTAATTAACTATTGCATAACTAATTAAAAAATTATGATAAAAAAAATTGCGGCGGATTATTGTTCATTTATCTGTTTGTAATATGTTAAAATATTAATTTATTATTTTATTGATAAGAGCATCCGTTTTCAGCCGTATTTTCATCCCTGTGGGAAAATTATAAATATTGACCCTACAGTTCCGGAAGTCAAGATTTTTTTAAGAAGTTTACTTTTGTTTTTGAATCTTTTTTTAAATTTAAAAAATCTCAATGAGTTTTTGAGATATTTGATATTTGTTTATAGCTTTTGCAATTTTTGCAAGCGGAACTTGATTTTTTTCAAAAATCATCTGCATGCCATTCCGGAACGAATGTCACCTCATTCATATTTTGACGAAAAAAGTTGACTTAAAAGGCACTTGTTAACGATATAGAAATAAGTCCTGATCTTTTTTGTATTGTATTCGGCAATTTTTAACGTCCCATAGCTGGGCATATGCCTCTCTTCAGTACGAGGGGAATCAGGCCATAGTCCACGCTGGCCAAGTGCGGGTTGGCGGAATTCACATGTTTTTCAATCCTCACGATGTTTTCCTTCACCGTTAAGACAAGCGGTAATCATGTTGGAAATGTTTCGCATCTGAAAATATCAGAGGTGCGAGACCCGGGATTTGAACTCGTTTCACTCGGTTTCCCAAGCGAGCGCGTGACCACTGGGCTACCACTGCCTGATCTGGTTAATGTATGGTTATTTGAAAGATTGGTAGGTTCGGGAATAAATCAGGTCTGTCGACTTTGAGCCTTGCGAAAATCTCTTCTTACTCTCAGTTACAAAACTAATTAATCATTACAGCTCAAAAGTGACACCAAAAGTTACCTTAATTAAATATTTTATAAAAATTTTCTTCAAGAAAATGTCTAAAAGATTATTTATACCTTACCTATTTTACAAGTGGCTTAAAGTGACCGCGTCAATTTCGTTTCGAATTTTGATCCAAACTTAGAATGTACCAAATTTATGTTGGAAGAAACTTTAGTATGAATCTGAACCGCAAAAATGTACGCCAAAATTTTTAAAATGCAGTTCCTGAATATGCTCTCTGTTTATAGCTAACTTTGAAATACGAGGATGATCTATCTGGAGGATGATCTATCTGATTCTTCTGTAATTTGAACCAACTTCGAAGAGGAGTAGCATTTGAGCCATTCGAATGTAAGGTATTTTAAGTGTATTTTTGCTGTCTTTAGTCGATAGCGTTGTTTTCATAATTCGACATGACTAGTGAAATATTAGGCGCTGGACCGACGGCTTTACGTACTATCCGAGGTATGGATGTAAAAAACCGCCAACTTCTCAACTGTCTCCGGAATATTCTTAGAGAAAAACTCATTATCTAAACTTCGCTCAACCCTGGAATTGAACCCCGAAGGATCTTCAAGCCTGCTGCCGCTGCTGCTGCTAGCCACAACTACACCGAGGTATTTAACCGATACTAGAAGTTAGTGGGTACTAGTTACTTACCAATAAATAAATGGGTGCATGTAACCTTTACACGCGGTTGAAGTAAAACTTCTTTGGCAAATATCGCAATTAAATTAAAACCAATCAATAATTCAATAAGACATATTAGGTATATTACAATCATATATTTATAGAATATCATATACGGAAATAGTATAATTATCAGACAATATCAACAGTTACCATGGTAACTATTAGTCATAATAGCTTATATTTAATTTATGCATATTCATTTCACAATAATAAGTATTAATTTTTATAAGTAACAAGCTTAGTTTTTTTACTAACTTTAAAAGTTATTTTACATTTTATTTAACATATATTACTCATATTTTTCACTTCCTAAGTAATTGTATTCTATCTCATTCTTTCGCCGGCTTAATTCTACATATTTATGTGTTTGTCTCTTTTTAGTGTCGCATTTTTGTTTCATCGAGTTTCAAATCACAATGATTCTAAAGCAGATTCACTTCAAAAACTTGGATAAGTAGAGTGCAAAAGAAAACAGATATCTAAAGAGTCTCTTTCGTGACCATGATTGCTGTAAAGCATTCTAAACGTCGTGAACCAAAAATCGAAATAAATTCGTGAAAAATCCGATAACATAGTTTTATTTAAAATATGTAGAGAAAAGTCAGTGTAGCGCCTGAGGAAAATAGTCTCCTACATACTATAAGCTTGTACAAATCAATTAGGTACCTAAGTATAAATTTATCCTCTATAGGTTCGGTATCAAATACCAATTTATATTAATATTCTGTTCAGTCTGCCGATAAAAGAACTCTCGATCAATTTTACATATTCAAATGAGATATATGTTGCGACACGTTTAAGAGTAAAAAGAGCAATCGAAGAGAATAATTTTGTTATAAAGCGCCTGATGTTTTTATGTAGCAATGAATTCAATCGTGTTTCAAAATATTTGCTTATTCAAATTAAGAGGAAAATATTTATTACGGCTTTATTCTAAAAGAATCTACATGTATACTATTATTTTGAATGAAGGTTAAATTCCAATACTTACAGTATATGTACAATAATAGTGATAATTACAGTAAAATTAAAAAGAACACGATTAGGCAAATAGCTGCTATATAAAGGGACTGGTCACAATCAATAAAATTAGTCTAAACTTTGAAGTTGTACTAATTGCCATATTATATGAGTTTCGCTGTCCACTTTCTGGCAGTGTCATTACATAAAATAAATGTATTGCCATAAGGATTCCTTATATTTACAAAATTTAGAATAGATATACCTATCTATTAGAAGTAGGTTAAAATCGGCTATCAATTTTAGATTTAATACTTAAAAGTTGATATTTTTCTATTATAAAAGTAAAAAAAAAAGATTTTTATCTATCACCAGTAGTAACCATAGAGCATTTAAAAGAATAGTTTCTTGATACAAAAAATACTTTTTATCTCAGACTTCTTAGTGTTGCAAATTTTCATATAGAGACTGTTCAGATATTCGAAGAATATACACGTAAAGTCGCGGGCAGTGGCTTGTTATATACATATTGAGTCTTACCACTGGTTATTGTTACAGTGAGGCGGAGCTTGAGAATATTAAGATTTATCGTCATCTTTATTTGATTAAAAAAACTTATGCAAACTCAGCGTAATGCAAAAATTGGTATTTATCGTTGGTTCTATTACATTAGTACCATTTTTATTTTGATTTCTATTTTAATAATAATTATGGTTGATATTTATTACACATGAATGTAAAAAGCAGGTGCTTTATGTATATTATAATTACATGATGCCTCGTCGATCTAGTGGCTAGCAAGTACGGTTGCACATCCGACATAGGTCCTGGGTTCGAGTCCCGGGTCGGACCAAGCTTAGTAATAACTAAGCTAGAAACTCAATAGAGTCTTCTTGTTGAGAAAGTCCCAGTAACAGCTCGTTGTTGGGAAGTTAGCGGTTATTCACCCCTGTGCCTCGGAGAGTACGTTAAGCCGTCGGTCCTGCGCCTGATGTCTCACCGGTCGTGTCGAATTATCGACCCATCCAATTTAAGAACAACAGAAATAGAAGGTTTAGTGGTCTGTGCGTACAGTTGTATACTTAAATATCCCCTGCGAAGTTGCCTAGTCTCAGTGAGATGGGTCTTCGTGGCC